ACCACCACCATCACCACCATCACCATCACCACCATCACCACCACCACCACCACCGTCACCATAATAATCACCATCACTACCACCACCATCACCATCATAATCATCACCACCATTACCATCATCATCCCCATCATCACCATCAATACCTTCAACACCTACACCATCATCACCATCAACACGATCACTGTCATCACCATCACGCATCACCACCATCATCACTATCAGCACCACCAACATCCTCATAATTGTTTTAAATGGGAATCTTTTCAAAATGTTCTTTTGGGCATATAAAGGGTAAGGCTGTCAGGCAGGAACTGAGAATACACACGATTTAAAAAAAGCCTCCCTTTGCTTTCTCTGTTTGGCCTCTCTTGTTCTCTGAGCCATCCTGTGAATTGGTAGGCTGACCTGGATCACTGGGCAGTGCAGACCTTGCCAGGAGGAGGCTGACTCTTCTCTGTCAGTTCCTGAGCCCCTCCTACAACGACAACTCTCCAAATTCCCCTGGCTTAACAGAACCAAGAATTTTTTTCTCAGTCATGCAAAGTCAGGCGGGGGTCGGCTCCCGTCCTTGTGGTGACTGAGTGACTTGGTGGCCTGTATTGTATGATTCTGCCACTCATCCCTGTGCAGCCAGGGTCAGGGAAGAAAGGCAGGAAGTGGCACAGCCTCTCCTCCCATTGCCTCCCGCCACCAGCCAGAGCGAGTCACTTGGTCTCAACACAGTGCAAAGGAAGCTGGGAAAAGCAGGGACGCCTGGAGTTTTAGGAGCGCTTACAACCCTTCCTAGTCACTTTCTTGGTCTTCTGAGACCATCCCTGGTTTCCTGTTGGGCTTAGGAGAAGGTAAGGGTGTGTGAGAGAAAGGCTGAGAGAGGCTGTGGCGAGGACAGCCTCTGGGTGGCCTGGAGCTCCCCAGCAGGGAGTCTAAGGAATGAGCAGCACACCAAAAACTTGCATCTTTCTTAATTTCTTTGCCTGCATTTACCAGTCTTTAAAATCTGAGGGGAGGAGAAATAACTAACGTTTCAGAGAAAGTCCAGAAGAATGTATAGTTCCTCTTAGAAGCTTAACACTTCCCCTAATTTTGAAAACTTTAAAATTAAGAGACTTGAATGAAACAGTGATTACTGTGGTAGAGATCACTAGTTAAAGAGTTCTTTTTATTTTTAAAAATGATTTTAAATTAGTGGTATGCATAAAAATTGTAACGTTACTGTAAACAATTGTACTTAACTTTTTAAAATGTCAAACATATGTGGTTTGGTTACATATGTAATGAGACACCCATATCTGGGTACAGCAAGAAAGCGAGCCTCGGGATGGCTCCAGACAGCTGCTCATAGTATTTCATGTGTCTGGGCTTTAACTGAAGTTGTTTGTCTTTCTAAGCATCCAGGACAGCCACTGTGTGGCTCATGTGACCCATGGCCATGTTTCCTCCCCCGGCTGCTGAGCCCACCGCTGTGGGCCCCTCCCACCTCCCGCTGACCTTCAGGGAAGGTCACACACCTAACATCACCTTGATACCGGCCAGCATTGCTGTCCACTTGGAGGGTTATAACAAGCAGATGGAAGTGTGGTTACTGACCTTGATCTGACAAAATGAAGGATGTCAGGTGTCTGACATCACCCCCAAATAACATATTCTTGAGACACAACCTGAAATGACTGGGTCCATCTTCTCTTTTTCAGCAAACACCCCCAGCTTGTGGGAGCAGGTGAGAGCTGGCAGGGGTTCCGGTACCAGCTCTAGTTCACCTGTTCTAGGCTGGAAGTCAGGAAGGGTGACCCATGCAGCCCACTCCCTCTGGAAAGTAATCCGCTGCACCCATACACGACTCCATTTCTGAGGACTAGATCCCTTACTGTTTAGTGGGGTCGAGAAAAGAAACAGGCCCCAGAGGCCCAGAGCACCTAGATGAAGCTGGTAGGTGAGGAGATGCCTCCAGCCTGCAGCCAGATGGTCCCAGGGTCAACCCAGCTTCCGGTTGGGCACGGAGGAGCAGACAACAGGTCTAAGGTGGTCTCTGCCCACATGTCCTCCTTCTGTCCCCAGGACACGTGAGAACGTGCTGGGAGGGAAGCAGCACTCGGGGTGGAAGAGAGCATTTCTCAAAAAGCTCAGACCGGCCCCCAAGCAGCCTGACCAAGGATCACGGATTTGATATTTAAAGTGTTCCTCCTACCGGCTGCTTCCTGGAGGGGCGGGGAAGGGTGTCTGTCTGTACCCAGGACCCCATTGCTTCCAGGGCTGGGTGAGGGGCGGCAGGCCGAGCCTCAGCCCGCATCCTGCACCCCGCGCCCCGCATCCCGCACCCCACATCCCGCACCCCCACCCCGGGGCGTCCTGGTGGAGGACAGCTGTCAGGCTTTCACACGGGTGACGAGGCGTCAGGCAACCGCGTCACCCTCTGAGCGAGCCTCCCGGGTGCTTGTGGTCCCCGGCACAAGGCCAGTCCAGTGTCCTCAGCCATCCTACACTTGGCTCGCAGCCCCTCCGGACACTTCCCGGGACCACCCACCATCCCCTTCATCGTCGCTCAGAGTTTGTTTTTCTACTTGGATTTAGTCTAAGAGTAAACGCATAGGCCTCCTGGCCTCCAAGAAAAACCATTTCTGTGTAAAGTGAAAACTAGATTCTTAAATCTGCAAAGAAGGCTGTTTATCTTATAAATGTATTCTCTTTATTGGGCCACACATAACCAAGATGGGAAGATTAAAGGGAAACGGAGCCACGCCATCACTTCGAGTGACGACAGTCAGGCGCAGCTCCCCTGCACTCTGAAACCTCTGGGCGGGGGGCTGCAGCCTTATCTGTGTGTTCATCAGCGACGTGCTGGGCAGGGGTCAGCAGGAGCCCCCAGGAGCATGTCCCCCACCATCTCAGCTCTGCTCTGCTCTGTTCCTTTAGTTGCTTTCTCTTCGACAGCCCTCCTGCTACATCACAGGTGGGCTTGGTTGGAGGAAGACTTGGGAGCAGTGCCCATGTGCAGATCGTGGAACACGAGGACCTGCAGGAATATGGCATCGAAAGACCACAGCTGCCCACCTCTCTCCTGAAGCCAACCCCAGGGCACCTAGTTCTGTTTGTAATCTGAACTGAGAGCTGTTGGCCTCCTGACTTAAACGGGCCTCTTAACTATGCTGCAGTGAGCACTGGGCTCACTTTTGTTTCAAGCTGACCTCACGGTCCCACCGGCGGGATGCCGAACAAGGCTGGGAAGCCAATGCCAGTGCTGAGGGTTCAGGTGGGCAGAAGGATGCGAAAGTGGGCAGGAGGGGGCATGCCAGCTGTTTAAATGCAGCCCTTGGGTTACTAGGGTTGGCGCCTGGCATCATTCTCTTGGGCCCTCGGGAAACTGGCTCCTTGGGACAGAGGTGGCGGCAGCCCCGGCGGACTCAGCCTGGGGCTGCGCCCTGCTGTGACTGCACGTGGGCACGTGTTTGCTTCGGCGCTGCGTTCTCTCCGGCCTGTTTGCCCTAGGCCGTGGCCATCGTCGGTAGCCTTCGCACATGCATGTGGACAACCAGAAACCTGGTGCTCAGCAAGGTGCATTCAACCTGTGGCAGAACTATGAGGAAGAAGATGCTGGCATTCAGACCCTTGGACCAGCTGCCCCAAGGTGGCTAGAGGGCTGGGAGAATGGGATGAAGGCGAGCCCTCAAAGGGCTTGTCCAGGGTGATGATATTGTGTGTAGTCTGATGCAGAAAGGGTGCTCCAAGCCAGCGCGTTGCCACGGATGCCTTGAATGCACATCCAAATAAGAATTAAGTGCATTGCCTTCATCCTGTTTATGGCCTATAAGTCTGTCCCTTTGGGCTGTGAGCAGCAAACACTAGCAACGGGTATTGCAGAATAAAAGCAATTTGCATTTTTCATTGCTCACAAGGTACAAATCTTGTTTATTCTGCTCTCTGCAGAGCCCACAGGTCTGTCACTACCCCAGAAGGTCCCTCGTGCTCACAGTGGATCTATGTGAGGCCCCAGGGGTGGGCGGAGGCTGCAGCGAGCAAGGACCCTGCCAGCTCCAGGGAGTTGGGGTCTGTGCAGGAGGTCAGCCGCAGCCCGGTCGCCCTCCTCGGACATGCAGCTCCCAACTCCCCACTGCGTGCCGCCTGGCTGGCCTCGGGTGTTGCAGTGACGTATCCTCCAAACGCTAGAGGCTTCCACCCTTTTATTTACTGTTATGTCCCATCATTTCCATGCAGAAGTCAGCACGTGTAAATTTTACTCTGTTTTCTAATGGTTTGGGCTACACAACAAATAGCAGCAGAAAGGACGTTTGTATCGATACTTTGCAGACAGAATTCTCAAGTCTCCGAGCTCCAAGTTTATAGGAGTTTGCAGCCAAGTTTCTGCACCTGACTTTGGACACATCTCTATGTGTTCGCTGGGGGCTGATTTCGGAACCACCCTTCCAGACTTTCCTCCTCCCTTCCGTGAGATCACAGCAGCCAGCGATAGATACAAGGCTACAAGGACGAGACAATCCATTTGGGATAATTTCTTTCCTGTCCCAAAATAGCTGTGTGTCTGCACGTCTGCAGGACTCGGCAGAGACACTTTATTTTTTTCATTCGTTGCGCGCTATGATGCAAATGTGATTTCAATCCTGCAGCAACGTCTCCAGCTAGTCCATCTTATAAACTAATCAGATTCAACAAAACACCAACATTTCTAAACTTTTGGGAAAAAAATATTTAATAGGAGCTAAGCAAAAGAAGAAACCCAACCAGCTGCTGACACAGCTGTTTCTTTTCTTGTTTAATTCAGTTCAATATAAAGGTACCATATGCTGCTTAAAATGATGGTGGGAAAGATGAAATAATTTCAGAGAATAACAAAATACACGAATTGTCAGCCTCCTGTCAGATTTAAAGAATGAAATAGGCAGGTGTAGCATTGACATGTTTAACTTTGTGTGGTGTTAGCAGTTTTGGTGCGAACAACTTGTGACATGTGCTGAAGTGACGTGCGAACGTTTCCCCCGCTGCAGACGTCGGCGAGGAGGCGGGGAGACCAGCGGGCGTCCAGCAGCCCGGGCTGCTTCGGGACAGGAGCCTGGGCGCGGCCATGAAGGACTGTCCGTACTGCGGGAAAACCTTCCGGACGTCCCACCACCTGAAGGTGCACCTGAGGATCCACACAGGTGAGCGGTCGGGGTGCGCGGGGCTCGGCTCAGGAGGCCCGGGACGCCCTGCCCGGGCCCCAGGTCCCTGCCAAGTTAGTCCCTGATAGTCAAGGTCTCCTGGGGCCTGTGTACTCACTAATGTGTGCGTCGAACTCACCCCGAGGCCCTGGGTCATACTTTACCGTCACCCGCCCGAAAGACACGCACATCTGTGGGGCGGGCCCAGGGACCCGAGGCGCAAGGACACTTGGCCGGCAGCTTCCTTCTGCTGTGTTGAGGTGGCACCTGCAAACCCCGTACTGACCAGCGATCTTTCAGGTGCCGAGTGACGGCAGCCCAGCTCAGACTCTCTTATGTGTAAAAGGGGAAGTCACAGCCCACCTGATGTCACCCAGCCAGGGCTACGGGCCCGAACCTGGGATGGGCCAGATGGAGGACATGGAGGGAGGGAAGCTCTCCTCAAAACAAAAATGACATGTTCCTACCAAAACGGGCATGGCTGCTGGCCTGATTTCTGTTCATCCTGGCCCTTGCGGCGAACAGCTCTCGCGGGCTCCGCCTTGTCCCTCTGTCATGGTTCTCTCCGCTTGTCTGCTAGTTGTTCGGACATTGCCAATAGGACAGAAAAATCTCTCTGAGCTGTGGACGCTCCATTTTCTTTGATTTTTTTTCTCCTGACACTTTATCTATTGCCGTATGAGCTGCTTCAGAGGATAGACAAATATGCCATCTATTTAAAAAAGTAATTGCGGTCTGTTTCCCAAGGAATCAATAAAGCTCAGGGCCATGCAGGATATTTAGTGGCACAGGCCTCATGTGCAGCCGATGGTTAAAGCTGAGATGCCCTCACCTGGACCCGACCTGCTACCCACACATCCCCCTGACACGGGAGGAGCCATGAGGACAGGTGGCCCTGGGCTGCGGCCGCTGCCTCCTTCAGAACTGGGAGCAGCGGAGTGTGGTCCCTGGCTCTCTGGGCTCGGAGCACTTCCGCTCTCACAGAGTCCTCCCAGGCCAAGAGAAATCTCCCAAAACCGCACACCAGGTGCCACCCATCACCCAGCCCGTGGGAGCCTCCTCGGCTCCCTCCCAGCCCCTTGCCGTCCTCTTGTCCCTCCAGTGCAGAGGCCTGGCTCCCACTGTCCCCTGCACCTGGAATGTTCTCCTTCCAGGTGGTCACCATCATCTCCGCCGAGAGATCTGCCCTGACTCCCCGTCTGAAACACCAACGCCCCGCTCTATTTTCTTCATCAACTTCACACTTTACAGGATGACCCTGTTCAGGTTGTTTGTAGAATGTGAAGCTGGCAACAGTGATTATCTCTTCAACGGCCGTGATTTCTAGGTCCCAGGGCCCACGCAAGCACCTCCACACAGCAGGTGCACAGTGTGTGACCACACGTGAGTGACCCCCCTCCTGTAACCCATGCTTGGTGCCAGGGGCGCCACCGAAGGCACAGGTGCGGTGGGACCCTGTGGTCTGTTGGGAAAGGCAGGCTGAACACACACACCGTCGGGAGCCACGAGCGGCAGCCAGGCTGTGGGGCTGAACTGCGGTTGTGGACGGCAGACCTGCCCCAGGAGCTGGGTGAAGGGCCCTGATTTCTGCCTCTGGGTCTGGTGCAGGCCCGCCAGCAGCTCCTACCTCAGACTGTGGCAGCAATGTCCCCTTCTCAGGGACGTCTACCCGAGCTCAGACCTCTGGCTTTCTCACCTCAAGGCAAGGTGCACTCCCCCCCCCAGGTGGCAGCTGTGTCCCCTGGGGCTGTGCTGGTAGTTCTAGGGGATCCCCAGGCTGCCAGGATGTAGGGACAGTCCCCCAGGGCACCCGCCATGGGGCTGTTGCAAGAGTGGAGACCTGGCCATGTGTCCTGTGACACAGGCCCCCCAGGGACTGTGTCAGGAGAGAAAGGGACAGTGCCTGCCAACCAGGAGGCTGCTGACCCCATGAGCCCGGCACCAATCAGCAGGTCCAAGGGTAAGAGAGATGCTCCCAGAATATTCTGGGGAACTGAGGACAGAGGCCACCAGGAGTCCTGAACCTGCACAGAAGCAAATGGATGCTGCCTTTTGAAGTTTTAAATCTTGAGAAAGATGGTCTTTCCAAAGTTCTGTTTTTTTCTGCTTCACAAACTTCTGAAATGTATGACTAATAGTCCTTGGAGACGCCGAGACGGCCTCAGACAGAGGCATTCTGGGAACTTCCCAGAATGGGGAAGATGAAAGACGCTATGGAAATGTGCCCCCCACTCCCCCGCAAGCGGCATTTGCCATGTTTAAAGGCAGAATGGCAATAAGATGAAGACCAGTTTCCCTTTTATCAGATAATAAAGGAGTTGGACAATGCTCGCACGTGTGCGTCTGAATAGCGCAGACAGTGCTCCGCGTTTGAAATCACATCCGTGATGACAACGTAAAGATGCAGGGGACACGTGGAATCAGAACCGAAGTGAAGATGCTCGGCAGTGACTGAGCTCACCCCCCAGGGTGCGGGGGCCCCTCCCCTTCTAGTTTCTGCGTTTCGGGGCGATGTCTCCGAGGATGCTGAGGACAGTAGTCGGTGCCATAGAGCACGTTTCCCAAAATGCCATCTTCTGGAGTTCTTCTACCAGGACCCATAGGGACATATGAGATGTTAGGGTGTCGCCAGTGTGTTTTAATTGGTTGGGATGGGAGGCGCCCAGTGGCTGCTTCCTCTTAGGTCCATCCCTACGGGAAGTCTTGATTAGGAGACATCCGCGGACTGCTCTCACTCAGCGACTGCTCTTCTGTCCACCCCCATTTGACAGGTGTGACGACCTGTACCCCAGCTTGTTCTGTGTCCTCTGAGCCCCAGGCGGCTCTGTGCAGTGCAGAGGGAGGTCTCGGGAATCCCAGGCCCTGGAGGCTGCCCCAGGCTGGCTCCTGCCACCCACCCAGGGGAGTCTGCGCTTCTCTCCTGCTTGAAACATTACCTTGGGCTGATCAGGACCCAGACACTGGACATGTGCTGTTTGTCTCCTAGAGAAAGTGCCCACGACTTGAATTCAGGGCCAGATAGGAGACTGTGTGGGTCAGGGCCTCTGAAACAGAATATATAAAAATATATAATAAGGAATTGGCCCTTGTGACTACACGGCTGAGCTGTCCCAAGATCTTCAGTGACCAGCTGGAGATAGGATTCAGTCTGAGTCCAAAGGTGGGAGAAGACCGATGTCCCAGCTCCAGACAGGCAGGCACGGAGTGGCCCTTCCTCAGCGCCTGGTTCTGTTCAGGCCCTCAGTGGACTGGGCGAGCCCCCCACGTCGGATCGGGGGCATCTGCTTCTCTGAGTCGACCACTGAAATGTTTATCTCAGCCAAAAAACCCTTGAAAACCTTTACCCAGGTATCTGGGCACTGTGTAGCCAAGCCAAGAGGACACATACTATTACCCATCACAGAGGTGCGTCAGCAAACACCCCGTCCTGACAGGCGGCAGGAGGCAGAGGTGGCCCCTGGGCTGCCCTGATGGAGCTGGCAGCCGCTTCATGGCAGGCGGTCCCTCCTCCCGCTCCCTGTTGGTCCTCCAGCCCAGCCGGGCCTCTCTCCAGGCTACAGGGCGTCGGCTTGGTGGGCAGGAGGAGGCAGGTGCAGATGGGCCCCCACCTCGGCCCCACGGTGAGCTGGCCGCAGGATCGCCGCTGGGTTTCTTTGTGCTCACCTGTGTGTCTGATTTCCCAGGGGAGCGCTATTGTCTCCGGAATGACCATTGTGGAGAAATGTGATAAACAACTTCACTCATGAAAACGTGGAGGCAGAAAGTTCAGGGACCATTAAAGTAAATCTCATTAGATTCCCCTTCGCACTGTGTGCTGGTCTGTGAATCGGCTTCAGAGCTGCTGTGGGCGCTGGCCAGGCCTTGATTTGGGAACTCCGGATGGCAGTGGGTTTGCACAGAGCTGCGGGCAGTGGTTTCCAGGGGTCTCGGGGGCCGTGGGGCGTGTCTTCATGTGCGGCCTGGACGCTGGCTGAGTGGGCACAAAGGTTCCCTCCCAGCTCTTGCCTGCAGGCTGGTCACCAGACCCATGGCTCCTCTGTCCCGATAGGACCACAGAGACTGGACGTGAGAGGACTTGTCTCGTGCACCCCAAAGGGCTGTGTGCCCAGTGGGGCCAGAGGGATCCTGGAGTCATCTTCCCCCATGATGGAGGATATGTCTACACGACCTATAGCAGCCAACTGCTATCAGAGCGGCTCGGCCCTGGGGAACTGTGACAGTAATGATAGTGGTGATGACAGCCCCACAGTCACGCACAGGGAGCGAATTCACAGCTTGGCCTCACAGCACCTCGGTCACCATGTGCCACCCGCCCTGGGTAGGGGCGGGAACTGAGACGTGAAGTCCCCGCCGGGAGTGTCCCAGCATTGATTATGGGTCCCAATCCTGCCTGCTGAATTCGGAATCCCCTTCCTTTAACTGCCGCACTGTATTGATATTTTTTCCTTTCTGGGTGCCTCTTTGGCTTGTTTTAAGGAATTATCTCGATGTTTCGTGGACAGTGCACACGCACAGTACCCAGCAGGGGGGAAGGAAGTGATTTGTACCCACAGGTGTGTGGACTAAGCCTCCCAGTGATTTCAAAGCGACATACATGCCCAAGGCAGGGGTGGAATTACTCCTCATGCCCTTTCATCTTAGAGAATTGCCTCGGCACCCCCTGGGGTCGATGTGGGTAGAAATGCAGGTCTCACCCAGGTGCCTGACACCTCACTACACTGGCCTTACCTTTGACACCTCTGCATTTCCTCTTCCAGGCGAGGTAACCAGGCCGTTTTCACACTTATAAGGGCGCATTGAATAAATCTTCAGAATCGGACTGGTTGACACGCAAGCTTCTGCCATTTCCCCTTCTAAAAGGAGAGAGCGTGCATTCTTCTTAGCGGGGTCCGGCACATGAGCGATTATGAAAAGAGGAGGAAAAAATATCAGCTTGCCCAAAGGAGATGGTTCTTTCTGTTCCTTTTTGTTTTGAATTAAAATTCCATCACTTGTACACA